ACAAGAGTGTTTATAGAAGAAGTTACTCACATCATTGACCAAGATATAATGCCAAAATCTGGTGATTCAAAACATTTTACTTTGACATACATGTACATAAACAGTTAAAACAGATACACAATTTATGCTTGAGTAAAGGATATTTATCATCACACAATAGCCTTTCCTCAAGAGTCCATTAACTATATTGTATAAAATGAATAATAAATGTCTTCCTGCATGGCTGTAAATTGAAAATTAAAATAAAATCAATTATTGCATTTTTGAAGAAATTGCTCTAACCAAAATTTTGTATTAAAAATTATGATATAATTGTTATTTTTAGTCATCAGAAGGAAACCATACCTATTGCTATCAGAAAGTAGTTAATATTATCAGAAAGTATTATTATCAGCAACAAGCAACAGAACACAATTAGAACTAAAAATTACTTTCTATTTTGTACTGAAGTATCTAACAAAAGTTAATATCTGAGCTATAAGAGGATCACCAGCTCCAATGAGTGCAATGGAAAATAACTAGTTCATAATTGTTAAATCAACAAAATAAACCAATAATTACAGGAGACTATACTCTAAAAAGGTTTGAGAATAAGCACACAAAAACTTATAACTGTTCTACTGAACATAAATCTCATAAAAGCTAACAGGAACATCTTCATTAGCAGTTCCCTCATCTCCACACACCCTCAACTCAATATAGTCAGTAGTGGTAGTGCTATATACCATAGTCTCTGTGAAACCATGGGATACCAGGAACATTACAACAAGGTGATTCTTCAGAACTACAACTTTGAATATCCCAGAGTGGATCAGATGTATACAATTGGTATTGCCAATGCCAGCCACCAGTAGCAATCCCTGATTCACAGAAATAATGATCACCAACAGATGATTGAACTTGTTTCAAAGAGCCAGTAGCACAAGGACAGGAATGATAACCATTGAAAAAATATTCATAATTGCCAGCCATTAGTGTCCAGACATGCTGACGAGGAGACCCACGAGTGATACTAACACCATCAACATAATCACCATTTAAATTATTGTGACTAGCAACTGCATCAGGAGATACATATCCAGTTACTCTACCACACACCTGAGAATAACTGATACCATTAGATGGGAACTGAACTGATACACAGCTACCACTGCTTGTTACTGGTCTACCACAAGCTCTAACTCCTCCTGACTGGTACAGTCTAAACCCAGAAGGACAGTTCACTGTAGAGTCATCCATATCCAGATATGCTAGTCTTGTCCATCCTCCTCCTGAGCCACACAATGTTCCCATATTACAGTAAGTATTAATAGTTCCATTAGTAGTTGCCAGTAGATACATACC